AATTCTTTTGTGTGTGTATACCACATTCTCTTGATCCATTCATCCACCAAGGTTCATCTGGGCTGATTCCATACCTTGGCTATAATGAATAGTGCTGCAATGGACATGGTTGTGTGGTGGCTTTAGTGTATCCTGGTTTGTATCTTTTGGGTAAATGCTCAGGAATAGAATTGCTGGGTCATAGGATAGTTCTATTTTTAATTTTTTGAGGAATCTCCACAGTGTTTTCTTACTAGACATTCCAGGCTATAAATGGTTTTAAGATGCTTTTATCTTTTTCTGACATTTGTCATTCTAGGAGTACAAAGAGCTGATTTAAGGAGGTTTCTTTATGAGAGTCCAGAATATCAGGCCAAAGAGTTTTGGGGTTTGTCCTAGAGGTGGAATTCACCATATTTTTTGGCGGGGGGGGGGGGGTCCGGTCATGGGGGACCTGATCTCTGGGCCTGGGCGCTGTCCCTGAGCTCTTCAGCTCAAGGCTAGCACTCTACCAGTTGAGCCACAGTGCCACTTCTGGCTTTTTTCTTTTTGCTTACGTGGTGCTGGGAATTGGGCCCCATGCATGCAAGGCAAGCGCTCTACCACCGAGCCACCTTCCCAGCCTCTCAACATATTTTTATATGTTCTAGAGGAATATAATGTTTCATTCCTAGAGTGGACTGTGGGTTGGAAATAGAAGGCTGGGGCTTCCAGATCAGCAGTTGTAAATTTCTATGGTATTTCCAGTCTAGTGCAGTGACCATGAAGTATGCAAAATCCAGCTTTACATTATTTTTGTACGTGGTTTGAACTCAGGGCTTCACACTTATTAGGCCAGCACTCTACCACTTGAACCACAATTCTAGCTTTAGTTATTTTTCCAAGAGTCTAGAGTCTAGTGGTTTTCCCAGAGGCAAGCCTTAGACTTCAATCTTCTAACCTATGTCTCTTGAGTAACTCAAATTTCAGGAGCCAACCATGTCCAGTCAATATTAACTTTAATGCACAGATATTTTCTCATGGGTTTCCAGTTGACTGATGCCTAAGTTTCTGGCCTTGAAATAAACAGAATGGAAAGAAAGCAGATTGGCAACAGTAGTTCCTCTCATTTAGGCTTCAGCAGCCTTTCTCATAAACATTTCTGTGAGACTATGAAAATAATCTCATTTCATACTTTTGAATGCTAGCATAAGTATTAATATTTTCTATGTTTTCAGAAGCATTTTGTTTGGAATTTGAGGGGAACTGTATTAAGCATAGTTAACTCACTGCTATTTGAAAATGGAAATCTTTTTGTGTGTCATTTTGGAAGCCTGTTTAAAGAGATGCTTGAAGAAAACTGTGGTCTATATTCACAGAGGTGTTCTTGGTCCTGGTACTAGGTCTTTCTTGGTGCCTGGACATGGTTGCTCAGATTTTTCATTCAAAGACTGACACACTCTACCATTCTGGACACAGTTCCACCTCTAAGTTTTTTTTATTCTAGTTAATTGGAGGTAAGAGTCTTAGGAACTTTCCTGCCTGGGTTGACTTTGAAGAACTATGATCCTCAGATCTTAGCCTCTTGAATAGCTTAGATTACAGGTATGAGCCACTTGTGTCCTGATCATTTAGAGAATGTTACAAACCAGAAAGTAACCACAGTTGGTTTACACACATTAAGTAAATGCAGACATACAGACTTCTTTCACTCCTCAGTTCAGCGCACAAGCAGGTATTTTTAGTTTACACCTGTATCAACCTCTCATTTCCTCAGTGGTAGATCTTATTTATGCTTCTTAATTTGGCCTAAAGATTACTTCTGCAGAGAGCCTTTCAAACCTCTTGATGCATATTTGACTGAATTCCTTTCTTGTGATTTCCAATATACTGTAATTTCCTTAAAGTGTCTTTATCAAATTGGAATTATGCATTAGTTTTATCTCTGTGGATCCTCTATTACCCAATTTAATTCAGCCCCAAGTGCATTGAATGTGAGCACCAACAAGGTACTGTGGTCTGTTCCATCTGAAGCTATCCTAACGATTTGGCATAATTTCATGCATTTTATAGAGATAGGCACTAAAAATCTGTTGTTAAATGACTTGAGAGTACATGGAGAGGATTGGAAATGAAAATAGCTTCTATATTTTATATAGCTTTTTAAGCTTTATATAAAGCTTTACATAAAACTTCATATACTTTTTATAGCTTATGTATTTTTACAAACATTACTTTTGAAATAATGGTCACTACATGAGGCAGATGACACCATAAAGCTCAAGATCCTTATGCCCAGAATCGATTTCAAGTCTTTTAATCATTTCTCCAGAAGCAATTGCTGCTGAGAAAGCACATCATCCACAGGAAAAAAAAATGCTCAGAGCAGTTCTAAAGTGAGGGTTAGTCTATCATTGTTTAGAAATAACTTCAGGAAGTCTGTGGTGAAAACAGACTTCAATGAAGGTGGTTATTATTCAATGAACACATGTCAGACTCCCAGTGAAATTTCTATTGGTGCCTCAGACATGAAGGATTTAAAAATAAACCCATTAAAGATATTTCAGAACTTCACTTTTACAGATTAAAAGTGGACACTAGTCTCTTATAGTAGCTTTCACTCCAAATGGGGATGTTTTAAAAATTGAATTCTGTTGCAAAAACAATAGTTTTCTGTTTGAAGAAATTCTGCTGTGGAAGCCTTATAAGTAAGAAGCCAGGTAGAACATGAATAATTGCTCTTAATTAGTCTCATTTCGGTAGTGATTCGTTGGCTACTGGCATTCTCAATACCCAGCTCCACCACATAAGGGAGTCTCATCACAAGCCCAGCTATCCATGATGAAATTCACTAAACAGCTCAATTTCAGGGAAACAATGATACTTTGTGCCTGCATGATCATGAAGGAGGAAGAATACTATTTGGAAACTACCAAGACTTCACTTTTATTCATGTCTTGGAAAGGAACAGAAAAGTAAGATCTCTAATCCATGTTACTTAAATGTACATGATTAATACAGAAAAGCTTCCATGGACTAACATTTTTCCAATAGAAGTGGCTTAAAAGTTGTTACTGAGCTAACGTTTGTTCCCTGTATTTTGGGATGTAGACTATTTGGTCTGAATAGCCAGAGATGGAGTTCTACTGTGTTTTCAGGCACTTGATTCCAGTGTAAAATAGAGAGCACAGTAATTTCACCCATTGATATGGGTAAATGTGAGATTTCAAATAATACTCTTAGTGTGATATCTGGCATCTAATAAGCCATCAAAAACATTCACCATTAAAATATGGTGCATCTATAACAAATCTAAAACATGTTATCTTTGCAACTGTTTCTTTGATTAATGAATGATTCAAAAGCCTTCAAGAAAAGGCACAACCAAGAGTAATACATAAATGTTTCATAATGGTTATAGAATATTTATATAATCTAAGTGAAGACATTTTAGACAAGAATGAATAAATGATTGGATGCCCACATCTGTGGGAGAGATTTGTATATGTTGCTTGTGTGGGGGGGACATAGATGCATGCTTTTTTATTTTTTTATAAAGAGATATGAATAAATTTTATCATTGTGGCCAAAATTGCTTAATCTATCTGAATATCTACCAGGTCTGGATGGTCTGGTTCAAACTGAAGGAAAGAATAATAATAAGTGAAGAAAAACACTTTGTCTTATTTAGATTTCACTTAAGAATGTTTTCTTTTTTGTGTATAGAGGGGAGGAAATTAATTTAATATGCACTTTATCTTAGTAAAGAACATGCTATTTTATCTGTATCTTTTAGGTGGCCATTCGAAAGTCTCCAGATGTGAAACTATGTTAATCTCATTCCACTGTCCACTGTCTGGCAGCAAACAATAAAGGTTGTCTTTCTCTTTCTGTGTTACTGAGGAGCACTTGCTGGGCTGGGCCTGAAAACATTACATAATTTCTAAGAAAACCACCAAGCTGTTATGAAGTAAATATCTGTTTAATTTACAAACATCAGTAGTGTAACTGATATTAGTCTGGAGGAAGAGAAAGCACACTGAATTATACATGTACAACTAATTTTTGTGAAAATTAAAAAAAAAGTTGTTTGGAGAAAAAGAACATCTTTTTTTTTTTTTTCTTGACAGGGCACTGCGGGATTTTAATGATGGAAGAGCACAGTCCACTACAAATAATCATTTCTACATGGCAATTTAGCAGCATACATGTTAACATGGGAACATTAAAGTAACAAAGGAGCTTTATTGTTTGGAAAAAATTACAGTTTTTGACAGAACCGTCGTTCTTTTTCCCACCCTCCCCCATAAAGAGGCAAAAAGAAAAAGTCAAGGCAATATTAAAGTTGTAAAGGGTCTACTTTCTAGGGTTGATTGCTACAGATCATTTCTTTCCTGTGGGGATTCAGTGAAGATGGGCCCTTCTTCCTTCCACAGATATCACCATCTCACAATCAGATCTCACAGGCAAATGAGTATTTTTCTCCTTTTAGACTTTGCATACACTCTGCAAGTGTTCCAATGAGGCCCTGTTTGTAGGTGATGCCAGAGGTCAGATGTCAAGGCCAACAAACAGATCAATCATGTATTTGTTCCAAGATGACACCATAGCACCCTATGTTAGCACTACTGCCAAACAAAAAAATTTTCCTGATTTTTAAGTTTTAAAAATGTACAAAAATATCAGGATAATTATAAATTAATATATATTAAAGCATTGAGAAACAGCGAAAGGATGACCTAAAACGTTAAGTACAGTGTACTTCGATACAATAAATATTCCTCATTGAAACTGAATACTGAATAGGGCTGTTTAGAATTCATAGAAACAACAAAAAATTCATATTATTACTAATTTATTTATCAATAATCTATTGGTTCTTTATTATCTCATTTATCATTTATATTACAAAAAATTAATACTGGAAAATGGTAAATAAACACTTTTGTGTGCTGCTCTCTGCTGACGTGCTGACATGTGAAAAAGAAGGTTAAATGTATCCTCTCCCATTTCATCTTGTGCATGGAACCCAGAGCTTTGGGATGTTCCTCATCCCCTTGCTTTATCGATGCTTTCTGAAGTTCCATCCCCCTGCCTGGCACTCCCATTCACACATATGTACTTGATATGTCCTTGTGAACTGCCTGGATGGATGTAAATAAAGGGACACAGGTTTTATGCTCTGGGCAATTTCAGTGCACCATAGCTGTCAGTCTCTTGTGTGTGCTTCTGCTAGTCTTCGCATGCTCCAAAGATGGACATGCTGTCGTGGTTTCCATCACGGTTGTTTAGGCTTCCAAGTATAGCTTTCTTCATACTTCTCCAGCATTGGGGAAGCTTGAGTTCAAGCGTAATTTATTATTATTATTTTTTCCAAATGCAGAAAAAAGTCTTTAATCTCATAATAAAAATAAGTCTGTTCTGTATTTTACAATATAATTCAAATATTTCCACTAGGAAGCATGAATTAGTCCAACATGGTCAAGAAGTATAGAACCTTTGCCGGAGACTGAGGGGCTGCCTGGACACCGTTTAGGATATGCACCTCATACACCCACACTTCACCACCTTCTCAACTTCATCCACAAAGGAAGAGCCGTCCGTGCATTCAAAGGAGTATTTCCGTCTCTTGCTCCTAAGAGGTCCACAGCATTGCCCGCCAACACACCCGCCTTTACATTCCAAACGAGAGACCTTCTTCGTTGTTTGACAGGCGGCGTAGCCCTGTTGCTTTTGGTAATAATCTCTGATCCGCTCCCCTCGACAAGAGATTTCTAGAAAACAACAAGAAAGCCCAAGCATTTAAAGGGTCCACATCTTCATCTGGAGGGTCTTGTCTGTGATTTTCTTTTATGACTGTTATTTTTAGCGTTATGCTCATATTATACTTTATGGGCTGCCAAGTTCCTGGACAAATACTTCTTTTGGGTCTTTATTTTCAGCAAAGTGAATGCCATATAGGTAGACTATAAATACAATCAGATTGCACTGACAAGAAAATTGGATTCCTAAATCTTTTTCCTTTATTGCAAAATAAAGGGGGGGGGAGGAAAAATACACATCTTCTGTTTTTACACTACTAACAGCTGGTTTTGTTTACCACGGGAAGCAGTTTCAGAAAGAATGCAATTTAATTTATTAGACCTGGAATTTAATATTGTCCAATCTGTTACTTAATACAAGTAACATTCCACCAACTTCATAAATTACCCTCTCTATGAAGTAGTTCGAAAACAGAGACATCTACTAAAGCTTCCACGGGCACGTCCATCTTGTATCTTTCCTCAGATGCACAAAATAAAGACCATACTAGCTGGAAGGCAAATTCTGATCATGAAAACAAAGGAAAAAGGGGGAGATGGGTGGAAAAATCCGCCTGTTTCCATCCCTCTCACCTGCATGATTTGATGTGATCAATCAGATCAATCAGGTCAAAGATGATTTTTTTTTAAAGTAAAACCAGACAGAATTATTAGCCCCCACTTTTCTGAGCAAGAAGATGAACAGCTGGTGTGTATCAGTGAGAAAGAAGCACAGGTAAAGATGTGGGAATCCTAGAACCCTGTGGGGACTGTGCAGGAGATGTGGCTGATGGTTGAATGATACTGGTAGAAAACCCTGGCAGTGAGTGCGTGACCTTCTGCAGTAATCTCGTCAGGAGACGGGAGAAGTCTCTTCATCTCTGAGATTCTAGTCTCTTACAGAAATGGAATGTGCCTCTTCCTTTGTATTCTTGTAATTTCCTTAAACTAGCCCCAGGCCAATCTGAAGATAAAAGAGGAGGGTGGGGGAGAGAATTTCAGGGTAATCTTCTCTGATGTTAAGTCCATTCCTCCATCAGTGGTGCTATTGGATTATAACTTATTTAATATTAAAATGTGTAAATATGAGCTATCACTGCTTGGGCACTTCCTTGTCCTTCTCCACAGAATCTGCTGGTCAGAACTGGCGTTAAGGTAGTAGAAGAGCAAGAGAAGTGTAAAATGGAGAGTTTTCATTGCAAATCTGGATATGTGAGGAGACATGTAGAAGCTGTGTAACATCTTATAATGGAGGTGTAGGGCAATTGAAATCTGGAACCTTCCTAACAAACTTAAAAATAAACCAACAGCTGTACCTGAAAGTCACGTGGCAGATGGGCATTTTCTTACCTCGTTTCACCTTTTCCTAGTTCTTTCCCCATTTACATCTTTTTGTATCAAGGATTAGTACCCCTCGTGCTTTGCCAGAAGAAGGGGCCTTGCTAGGCTGGCCTACCTCGGTCACAACTGTCCCCAGTGTATCCACTGCTGCATTCACAGTAGGGCTGTCCGAGCCCCGAGAGCCTGCACTTGCCGTGTTTACACTTGATGGTCTGGCAGGGGTTGAAGAGATCTTCTTCTTCATCACAGAGGACGCCCCCATGGCCCTCCAGGCATTTGCAGCTGTAGGAGAATGCGTTGATGGGCAAGCACGTCCCATGCATGCATCTGCAGGGGAACAGGAAGGAGCATGTAGTGAGAATGGATGAGGATCACAACATAAGAATGAAAGATCACTGACTGAAAAAGAGAATGAACTCCAGTGGGAGGGTTCTTTGTGAGTATTATCCCTACCTCTTGTCCTTGGCTCCACCCCAGCCCTGAGCCCCTCCCTGCCCTAGGGTTACAGCTGGCCACTTCCTCTCTCCACCCAGACCTACCTGTGTGTGCACCTACCTCACTACCAGCCCCAGACTACCTGCCACTTGGATAGGGAGAGAGGCCATGTGCTCCCTCTCCCAGGAGATATGGCCCCTCTAATGACCTATATAAACTCTAATAATCTTTCTCCCATGCCTGTTTGCCCCTGTGTAGTCCCCTGGGATGGTCGTGAAGGATTCTTAAATTCTTCCCTCCATCTTTCCTTCTACCTGACTTTCTCCATTTCCTTCATTTCCTTTCGGGCTCACTCATAGGTTACCCAGAAACCCAAACTTACTTGTTTCCAAGGCAGGGGTCATTGGTCCGCTGGTCGCAGAGCGGCCCCATCCAGCCCTCCTCACACTCGCATGTGAAGCCCGTCGGGCTGCCAGGCTGGCAGGTGCCATGGGCACACACTTTCTTGTGACATGGCTCACAGCCGGGCAGAATGCCTGTCTGCATGGGAACCTTCTGAAAGTCCTGCAGCTCACTGTTGATGTAAAGATTCCTGATGCAGCCATGGAAGCTGGTGCCGTTCTGCCCGGGGGCCTGGCGTAGAGATGCTACATTGTTCTTCCCAGGCATGCCTGCAGAGGGACACCATGGGAGAGGTCAGACTCTGGGGCCTTTCAGAAACAGGCTATGCAGATAGATGCTCTGGACCTTACCTCAGCTCTACTAAGTTAGGATATCTAGGCAAGGGTACTAGGTTGAAAAAGATCTGTGTATTATGTTTATTGTTTTTGTTTCTGGAAGATTCTGCAGGTACTTCTTCTAATGTATAATTAAAACAACTAGTTCACTAGGTCCATCTTTAATCTTGAACATTTGTTTCCAACAAAACTTTGCCCTAGACACATACATATATAAAATTAAGAACCACAATTGCTGGACTTAGAGAGATTGGAGTTTCCTTTATTCTAGAGTCTCCTCTACCAGACATTACAGATTTCCAGGGAGCCCAGAGCTCCACAAAGCTCCTTGAAGTCCTCTCAGAAGTTCTACCTGGTTAGAATTAGGCTGATTACAAAAGGCCTTGCTTTGATTCTAGATCCAAGGTTTAGCACCATATTTCAGAGGGAGAATGTGGAGGCTCAGAGTGACCTTCATCTTGGCCCTGACAAATTCTAATTTAAACAAATTACTAGGAGCAATGTTCCAGCTCAAGGCAGGATGTCAATGCCTGGAAAACTCACCCCTGTGGCTTATCAACAGCACTTCATGGACATCATGATTTTGTTTTGCCTGCTACTGAGAGCAAAGACTTCACATTCCCCACATAAATCAGGAATACAAAAGAAATTCCTTCACAAACAGTATTTGCAAATCTTGGTGAAGATACATTCCACTAATGTCAGTCATCTGGTAACTTTCATTTTGGCAAAACTGAAGAATCTTTCCATGGCATGAGCCAGACCCTGAAATAGTGCTTGAATGGTATCAGGCATGAGGCAACTTTCCAGGTCATTGTGGGGTAAGGGAGGAGGGGAGCCAGAGGTCTTCCGAGTCCTTGACTCTCTCACAGTGCTCAGGTATCAACTGAGCCTGGACCAAAAGCTACCGGATTCAAGTTCTGGGCTAGGAAGTCAAAGGTTTGCTCTCTTCCCAGGAACTTGTTTATAAATCTAGGGACAGAAAGATCTCAGAATCTTCCCATTATACTGTCTCTTAAGTCCTAACACACACTAAAATCAGATAGCTAGGTTAGAGGTCAGGTCTTTGGTTTTGGTTTTTAGTACATTTGGGCTAGTCATTTCTCTTCTCTGGAGCTCAATGTTCTCAATGATATCATAAATAGTTGGACACAGCAGTTGTTCCTGAAATTTTTGACCCTGGATTTTTTTCAGTATCTCAAGATGGAGGGCAGGCACAGAATTCGGAATGACAAAATGCCGCACTGGTGACTGATGCGAGGTGATCTATGGTTACACTTGGACAGAGTCAATGACAAATCTTGGCTTTAAGCTCCATTTGTATAGGTTTTTAGTGAGCATCAATCTGGCCTTGGAAATCAGGTAGTGACAGCAAGGTCAAAGATATGCAACTGGCTATGTTGAAGGAAGGTCTTTGTTCTGGGGTCTTTCTAAATCATATTCACCCACAACATTTAATGTCACGTGTTTATGGTCCTTTCTTCAGAGTACAAATGTACTTCTTCCAGAACTAATTTGAACAGCTCATTCATGATAGAGGTAGTGTACCCCTATGTGTATTTGTCAGAATTAAATAGAGTCTAGCTAAGTTCCTCAGCAGGGAGAAAGGCAATCTTTTCATTCCCAAAGTTCCCAATTATAAAATGGTCTTGCTTTGATTACAGTCATTTGTAAATGAACATGGCTATATGTTATACATTTATTTGACTTTTAATAGGATATAAATAAAGAACTATTTTATTCTATTCTTTCTGTTTATTTGATGCTTAGGATTGAACCCAAGGCCCCTGGAATATTAAGCATACCACTTTACCTCTAAGCTAGACTCATGTCAAGACATTCTGAGTCAACCTTTCTGTGGGCTTGCTTAGGACTCGAGGTTGTAGTTGATAAACAGAAGCAGAAATATCTTTTTATGTTATTGTTGTGATAGCTAGATCTTGCTCTTTTTCTTCTCAAAACCACAAAAAGTTGTGTCATGTGACAGAAAGGATGCATTAGGGGGAATGATGAATGCAAGGATAGGTTAAGCTAAGTGACTAGTTTCTCAGAGGACACTTCTGTGAATGATCAGGTGTTGAGATGCATCAGCATTGGGCCGTCCTCCTTTGGAAGTGGATGTATTGACCTCTTTTTGCTTTTGACTCTTTCTCATTGCTCTGCCATATATTCTTCAAAGCTCTGTTTTTATGTATTTCCTTGTATTTAAAAAAATTTGGCTTCACCCTTGAGACCAGAGTCTGCATGGGCAGAGAGCCAGCCCAGGCTCCGTGTGTTTTCCGGCAGAGAGGAGGGGTGAAGATGGCTTCCTCCAGGCCTAGGACAGAGGTGTCTGTATTCTTGCTAGGTACTTCATCCTCAGAGGAATTAGCACTTTTCATTCGGGAGCTTAAAACCTTTTTCTTTTTCCTCCTTGAAAAATGAAAATGTTCAGACCTAAACAATCTCAGGCTTTATTAAAGTAAAATTCATACCAAATCCTAAAGAGGTTTTTAAGAGATCCAGTGAAACAGTTTCTAATAAAAGCATAATAAAATCAAGTGAAGCACGAGGTCAGAAATAAACAACTAAAAGCCACATAACTTAAGATCACTTCACTTTCAGATTTGTTTTGGTGGTGGTGGTGGTGTTTTTAAGGACTGAGTGGCAAAATGATGGCTCTGGAGTCGGGCAGACCTGAATCTAAATGAGGTCTCCCATGTAATAGCTTTGTAAACTTTGGCAAGCTTTATAAAAATCCTTGAGGCTCAGAGACTTTTAAAAAATGAAAATGTTTTCTCCCTCATATCTCTAGAGATGAAGGCTAAGAGAAGCACTGCATTGGGCGCATGGAACATCCTTTTTGCTTTTAAATAGTAGTTCCCATTATGACTTGCTTTCTTTTTCACAAAGCAATTTGGTTAGCAACAAGGGAAGGCTTTGTTGTTGTTGTTAAATGGGACTCACAGTTGGGATTCCCATGGTACAAACAGATCAGGCTACTTGCTGAGAAGGGTCAGTGTGTAAGATTTTAATTACGCAAAGATTAAACGGTGTATCTGTGGTTCCCATTTTCCTGGGAGTCGAAGGCAGATGTATTATTGTTAGCATAGACTGATTACATGAAGGAAGAGGTTTCTGGGCTGGAAACGTGGTCCAAATAGTAGAAATACCATCTAGCAAGTGCTGGGTTCAATTCACCAACTCCCCCCCACCCCCCATACCAAATGAGTTTCACAGTGGTGTTTCCATATGCTTGTACAGTCTACTTTGATCACAATCATCTGCTCTATTACTCTTTCTTGTCTCTCCTTCCCCCTTTCAAATGTTTCTTTCTTCTTATTCTCCCAGTACTTGGATTTCAACTCATGCCTCTTGCTTGCTAGGCAGTTGTTTTAACAGTTGAGCCATACCCTAGACCATTTTTGTTTGAGAAACTTTTGAGATAGGTGCTAGAGTTTCTGGCCTCAGTCAAGAATGCCCTACTCATACCTCTCATGTAGCTGGAGCTACAACAGACATGCACTAAATACAATATGCTTATTTGTTAAGATTGAGTCTGGTAATTTTTGTCTGAGAGAGCATTGAACCATGATTCTTGTGATAACCACTTCACTAATAACTCAGATTACATGGATGAGCCACAGTGACCTGTGCAATTTTTTAAAATGGGCTTCATTGTGATGTCTTCTTATTCTTTGAGCATTTCACTTTGTATGCTCTATTCTTCCATTAACTTCCTTGGGCCTAGAGGTATGTCATAAATATTAACAGAATTGAACAGAATTTTGAACTCTTTGAACTCTTTTGCTTGTAAAAAATAGCACATTGCTTAAGATACTGCAAGTTTTCTATACCAAAGTTTTTCAAAGTAGAAGTTCTCTGGACTTAGAGGATAATTCCAACAAATGATTTTGGAGAAAGCTTCAAGTGGTTAATTATAGCATCTTAAGGTTAGAGTTGTATAAAGGGTAATATGAAGTGAGTGAAAACACACATCTTGGTAAAGCATTCAAGGGCACTGACTTATTCAGAAACTTCAGTCTCTCAACTCATCCTATTTCTAAACTGAGTTTAATTTTATCAGCTCAGTTGAAGACCAATCAAATCCAATGCATCTCGATTCAGCATCACCTGCTGTTTTGGTCCTTGGTCTGAATTGTCCAGCTCTATGTCTGCATTTAAACTACTTGCTTCTCTAGAAAGGGTGTGAGCTCTGCCCTATACAGTATTTCTTTTTGGCTCCTTTGAATTTGGTCCTATGTCGCTTTTTCATTTCCTCATCTTCCTTCATAGTGCTTAAAAATAAAGCCTAGGGTTTTAAATTCACCTTTTCTAGTCCTAATTTTCTAACCTGCCATCATGTTCATTTCCCAAAAGTCTTGCCAAGAAGAACTACTTCCTGTGCACCTAATATAATCTGTCATTTGATTCTTCCATTCATTCATAGAGTTTCAAGGACAATTATCCTACCATGTACGTAAATTTGCAGAATTCATTCACAGAAACTACAGCATGACAACATTTGGCTGAGCTGATAGACTCTGCCTCCTTACAGAAGAAGCTGGCTGGGAGTCACTTGCTCTGCAATGTTCATCAAACTTGTGTCACCATTTTCTTCTTTGTTTGGTTTGGCACGAACTAGTTTTCTTTTTCTGTGAGACAAGATGACTAACTATAAGACTGAAAATGATCTGATGCATAAGTCACCTGTTAGGTGACAGATCACAAAGAAATATTAACTTTCTACTCTGTCAATAACACACTTAAACCAGACCCAGGACTGCAAAACAGCCTCTTAATGTTTATCTTCAATAACTGTTTATCACTGGTTATGGTCCCTGGCATCAATAGCTTCAGTCTGTGATGAGACTTATCACTTGAGTGATGCATTGTATTGAGAGACAGCTTACCTCCTACGTAGAGTGGAGAGTCGAGATTCAGAGTGGACTGTTTCGACAAGTTGGTGATGATTTTGGGGCTCCCTCCATCCACGGAGAGGGAGAGACTCTGATCCAGGGCAAGCAGCTCCACAATATGGAAGTTTCCATCATTGATTGTCTCCACACTACAATGGGAAAACAATTGAGCTGCTTCTTCCATTTTCTTTTTATTAAAGAATAGTCATTAAACTAATACTTTAATAAGCACCATTTAGGAAAAGATAGTTGTAAGTAATGTTAAGGAAGTTGAGTTTTAATTAAAAGGATATTTTCAAGGAGATAATAGGTTTCAAGTTCTCAGAGACTGTACACAAAGTTTTTCCTACTGACATAATTGAAAATGACTGGGTCTATTCATGATCTAGTCAAATTCCCTTAATCTCTGTAGAACTCACAAAGAGAAAATGCAATTGCTTTTACTAATTTATTTTTTATTTATTTTTATATTTTGGGGGGTCCAGTCGTGGGGCCTGAACTCTGGGCCTGGGCGCTGTCCCTCAGCTATTCAGCTCAAGGCTAGCGCTCTACCACTTGAGCCACAGTGCCACTTCTGGCTTTTTTTCTTTTTCTACTTATGTGGTGCTGAGGAATTGAACCCAGGGCCTCATGTATGCAAGGCAAGCGCTCTACCACTGAGCCACCTTCCCAGCCCCTACCAACTTATATTTGAACCCAGGAGCTCTCTGTACTTGCCAGGCAGCCACTCCTCCATTTAAATACCCTTTAGCTTTATTGGTTTTAGGGTAGAGCCTTTTGTTTTTCCCATGCTGGCCTTTGATTGTGGTTGTCCTGATTTCTACCTCTGGAGTAGCTCAGTGCATTTGCTTTTAATGCCCTAAATGTTCCATTTACTAAGTAAGATATTGATTATCATGCCAAATAGAATTAAAAAGACATGACACCTTCACCCATGCCAAATACATTCTAGAATCTCTAGAGGATTTCTGGCCTCTGCTCTCATGACCCTGCATCAGGACGGGCGATGTCAAACAAACACAAAAAGTACAAGAACGAGCTGAAGAGGATTTTTGTATTTTGTGAAATTTATTAACTGATACTCTATTTTTCCTTCCTGTGCAGTTATTCCAAGACGTCTCATTGTGAAGTGATATCCCATTAAGGTATACCACTGTGAAGAGATGTGCTCAGTGGACGAGCAAGTTAAATAGGATGCCTACAGAGTCATAAGGACAGCGATTGCCCAGTGTCCTTTCTGCAAGAATTGCTAACAATTCTTACAGTTGCCATCTAGGCACCTTGAGGAGATATATAAAAATGCATAAAATAGATTAAAAAAAGGTTACAAAATGAAGATAAGTAGACAATGAAGACTGAGAAATAAGATGAAGTTGGTACAGTCTGTTAATAGGTACTTAGGGTTTTAACTTGTGGTTTCAAACCTCATTGTGGTATTACTTCAGGCAAAAAGTTAATGAACTTATAAAACAGGACCTGAGAAGAACACAGTACTTTTGCACAGTACAACTTCAGTAATACACTCACATTTCACTATACAGGTAAAAGACAGTCTAACAAAGGTTGTGAACATTTACCAATGAACATACTGGGACATTATTTAGGCTAGGATATTACTGATAAAATAACGTTGCATAACACTGCTGGTCTTAAATATTACTCTTTCCTAAGGAGATATACTAAGTTGTAATATTGGTGTGGGAATTTTCAAGTCGGATAAATCTGGATTTGAATCCTGGGCCTGCATCTATTAAATATTTGACCTTTGATTATTGGAATACTAATACACTTCCATTTTCTTTTTTGTTAAATGCTACTTTCCTATGATTAATTTGAGATCTGCATGAAATTATTTTTTATAAAGATGCATAGCAGAGCCAAGTTATATATTCAGGATTTCCATCAACATGAGCACCAGTGCCATCAGCGTATAAATAAGTAATCCAATACAATTTTAGGATCTTCTTCAAGAGGAAATTTAACTTGGCTCATTTGAAAATATGAAATGCAAGGTAATTTTAAAGACTGGCAGAAATACAACTTTTTTGTTACTAAAGTTACTAGAAGTTCTAAAGCATTAAAATAAAGATATACATAACAATGGAAGCCAATTGCTTTTTGCTTTTGTGGTCAGATGTAATTCTCAAAGTGGTTTTAGATGGACATTCTATAAAATTTGACCTTAATTAGACTATAAATATTAATATATGTAGCCCCCCTTTCCCCTTTAAAATTGCAAAGAAAGATCCATATGCATGGAGGAAGGAGTTCTTGATCACATATTAGGCAATCAATTCAGACATGTCGGTGTTAATGATGGCGTTGGCCGCATGCAGTCCAATGACTTCAGAACATTAAAGTTGTATGCATCCTAATGCAGTGCTCAGCTGGTAGGTCATTTTGTCACCACCTTTCTTGACCCACTTCTTCTTTATCCCCTTCTTTGTTCTTCTTGTCATGAGTGCACATTTTTAATGCTCACTACTTTTAAGCCACTTTAATGTACTGGTCATGTATTGCTATTGGGGTATTTCTTAAAGAGATATTCAGAAGAACATCTCACCTATATAGTAGATGCTTAATCAATACATGCTATGTAAATATAATGGATGTTATAAATATAAGCAAGATAACCTAGGAATAATCTTTTTTCGGGGTGTAGGGGGAAATCCTGGGGTTTGGACTCAGAACCTGGGCACTGTCATTAGGCTTTTTTTTGCTCAAGGCTAGTGAGTGCTCTACTATTTGAACCAAAGCTCCACTTGCAGCATTTTCTTTTTTTTTGTAATTTATTGGAGATAAGAGTCTCACAGACTTTCCTGTCCCAGCTGGCTTCTAACAATAATCCTCATATCAAAACTTCCAGAGGAGTTAAGATTACAGGCATAAGCCACCAATGCTTTGCTTTAGAAATAACTTTTTATCAATATGAATGAAGTTATAATCAACAGGCTTCAAGTTTATTTAGGAAAGTTCTTCAAAAAGATGCATGCTATTAACAATTTTGGATTTTCAGTGGTAGTAACTTGAAGGAAAATTCTGAGAGATAAGTTACGGTCATCTCATTAAAAGTATGACCCTGGCTTGAATTGTAACTAAGAAAAGCAAGAGTGATTTAGCACATACTATACTACTGGATGAGTAGTGTTCTAAAAACTGTATGTGTATCACTCTTTTTAAAAAAAATTGTTATTGTATAGTTGATATACAGAGAGGGTACAGTTACATGAATCAGGCACAATCCGTACAATCCTTTTTGAAACATGTCTCCCCTTCCTTTGCCCTTTCCGATCCTCATCCGTAAGATAGAGTTCATTTTCCACATAGTGTCTACTGAGAGGGCAAGAGAGGGCACATAGAAAGCGGAACAATGATGAACACATACAACAGTGACACTCACTAGGCAGTCTATGTATCACTCTTATTTAAGCCCCACAAAGGGCTATTCGTGTTAGTCAAGGTAATACAGCAGTTAATAGATGAACAGACTTGAAGCCATACTTCCTGGCTTGAATCTGTGTGTTCTTAATTATTATATATCACGCTTGTAAAAATACAAAATATCCCAGTGTCATTCAGATGGCATGGAATGTTACCACTACATCCTCTATACACGATAACCATCCACCAAACAGCGCTAGGTATAGAGTTACACAGAGGACACCTTTATAGGATGCTTGCACAATGTGTTACCTTTACTAAAAACCATTGATTTATTAAAAACAAGGAATAATCTTATATGACTTATATGAGTTTGAAGGTCATGCAAGTACATGTAAAGTTTGTGGATTTGCAAATTTTCTTTGGATTCTGTTTTCCCAGTTATGAATGAATTTCAGAGTAACAGTTTTAAAGGTCCACTCTGATCATTTTGGAACATGCTAAGGGTTACCATGGACTTTATTCCATTTATATCCTTTTGGAATTAAGCTAGATCTAAACTTGACTTAATTTTTGTGTGTGTGTGTGTGTGACAGTTCCGGAGCTCTAACTCAGGGTTGAGCTTTTCTGCTGAAGCCTAGTACTCTACCACTACAGATTTTCTTGCTCAGGATGGCTTAGGACTGTGGTCTTAAGATCTCAGCCTCCTGAGTAGCTAGGATACCAGGCGTGAGGCACCAGTGCCTGGCTGACCTTGATTTTTTTTTTTTTTTTTTTGCCAGTCCTGGGGTTTGTATGCAGGGCCTGGGCATTGACGTTGAAACTCTCTGTGGTAAAAGCTAGTGCTCTATTAGTTGCAGTACCAGTTCTGAGATGGTTTAGGACTGTAATCCTCAGATCCTAGCCTCCTGAGTAAGTAGGATTACAGGTGTAAGCTACTGGTGCTTGGCTGATTTTGACTTCTTGCAAACAAATACTATCAAGTCAATATTTTGAGATATTTTTTAAAAAGATGGTAGTGTGTGCATAAATCCTAAAGTGAAACTGTCATATGAAGAATGGTCTAAATTGTTTTTTTCACATTGTCTTTTTCATCATGAGAGACTAGGAGACACCTAAAAGTCCTTGCACTGTGTTTCCTTTTAATACGAAAGACTGACACCCAGTTGTGTCGCTGTGAGTCAAAGTTGTCATCGATTTTACAGTCCATCACATTCAGCTCCCGTGTCCTCACTTACAGTGCATAATGTCCTTTGGGGTTCTGATAACTATTGATAAATTCTCTCTCACCACTCCCGAGGGAGCTATATATTTGATGACTCACAAAAAGTAGCCAGTGAACCACTTAACTTGGAGCCTTTCTACTAGGAACATAAATTTCATTTTATTACCATTTGTATGTAATTTAACTTTACTACCTTCATCTATTATCTTAGATTTTCTTTTCCTGAGTTTCTGGACTGTGCACGGATATATGAAAATCACGCAATTTTTATCACACCGTTTGCAGTTTGTTATTATCAAGACAGTGTGAAGATGATACAGGGCTTCAAAGAAAAGAGGAGTACTATAATGTTTTTATTTTTAATTTTCTTTCTCCATTGTACTTATGCAGGACACACTAACAATGTCATATTTCCGTATCTACTATTTCAGTAGCTTAATAAAGATAAGAATCCTACTTTGCTTATGTGAGTTCCAGCCTTAGACTTGAAAGAACTTAAGTGAATGATTTGTATAGGAATCCAAGATGAAATAAACAGAACTG